TGCGTGAGGCGAAAGGGGGTTCAACCATGCTTACAACTGTTACAAGCCTCTGCCATAAGCATAAGCACCCCTCCCACACAATAGCTTCCCAGGCTGGACAGGGACGAGTCTACAAAGTAGGGCGCCCGTAACCCTGACTAGCTGTCCCCTCCCGTGATCCTGTTTCACCTGCCACTGTCAACTCCATGTGACACGGCAATAGCTGAGGTTTTGTGTGAAAGAGAAGGACACAGCTCATCAAGTATTTACACTTCTGCCCACCCTTTATCGGCCCTCATCCCTAGAGACCGTCCCCGGGGCCCCCCGAGACTAGGTTCACAATGATGGATGCCAATTTTTAAATCCTACAGCAGCCTGCTGATAAAATGATTTAACTCCAGTAATCTGACATTGCCTATAAATTAATTTTAAAATATAACGACTCTACCAAGTATTAATTTTCTATTTTCTGGCTCATTTCCTTCTCCCTACTCTTCACTCTGATCTAAATTGAGGATGAGGAGAGGGAATGGGGCTCTGGCTGGTTGCTGGGAGTGAGGAGGAATGCAGCCGCTCCTCTGATGAGCTCATGGACAAAGCCGAGAACTCACTGGCATTTTCTCCCTGGAGCTCACGCTCCACAGGCCTGTGGGCCTGGCGGGTCAGCACCTGCAGCTGCAGCCAGGTACGCTGGAGAGGTGGGAGGCGACGATGCCAGAGGTACTGATTTGCCTCGGGAAGAAGAGCACGGCTTAGCGAGCTTTAGCATGACTTCGTGGCCACGACCTCCACGACTCTGTAGCGCCTTTACTTCCTGTTGTTGACTTCCTGCAGCCTGCAGGAGTTTGACCCTTCCCGGTGCCCTCTGAACAGGTGCAGCACAAGGCTGCGGGGGGAGACGTGGCCTGCAATCAGACCACCTTCCTATCCGGGCACCCACGCTTAGCTCCGGTTTCCTTGACTCTAAAGCGGGTGAAAGCGGAGCCACTGAAGTAGAACGCACAGCCGAGCCTGCGTGTAACGAGGACGCCAGCAAACAGGAGCGCCGCCATGGACTTTTCATTCTGTGTCTTTGCCACTCGTTACAGGCTGCAGATGTCCCCCTTCCCCACAAAATTTACCCCAAATGGGGCCTTGTCTGGGAACAGGGTCCTTGCCGATGTCATTAAGCTGGAACAAGGCTGCAATGAGGAAGGATCCCTCTTCTGGGCCCAGCTGGTCCACGGCCTCTCATCCGGCACGTCTAGAAAAGTCCTCAGCTACCTACGGGGGCAGCCAACATCCCGCCGATGGGCCTGACCCCACACACCTGGTCCCAGAGAGGGACGCTGGGCCCGGAACCTGGTCACCAGAATCCTCCTGGCTCATTTTTGTGTACATGTTTCAGGAAGACACTGACTCCTGTGGAGTTAGTTACTGCGGAGATGACCGGCTGGAAGGTGGCCTCTTGACCTGGCAAGGACCCGCGTGCCCACACTGGGCCAGAGGTGGGGAGAAGGTGCCCAGGTGACCTGATGCATCACCTGAGCCACGATCGGCCACACGTTCTACATCATTCCACACTCTCCTGGACCCCCTGCGCCGACCACACACACACAGCTTCCCCTAACACCTCAGTTTCTTGCAATTCCACTCATCCCGCCAAGTCCCTTCAGCTAGTCTCTGTCACTGGCATCTCAGGATATTAAATGACATATAACTACCTAGCAGGAAAGTGCGAGCTCCTTTTTACATTAATTTTAGAGATGAGCAGGCAATTCTGTACCCCCTCGCCCAGGAGGCCTTTCAGAGGGAGGCTTGTGCTGCAGACCCTTAGGAAGCAACAGTCTCACATGAGCCCCCTTGGGCCTGGGCGTCCTCACTTGTGAAATGAGCAGAGTCAGGCACCATGCCCCCTCCGACTTTGGGGGCCATGTAAGGTGAGCAGGGCCAGCAGCAAGGGCCCTGGCTGTGGGAAGGGTCTGCTCCCCCCTTCCCCCACCGGCTAGGCACCTCCAGAATAAACTGAGCCCAATCACTCACGTTGCCTCCTTGCCAATTTACAAAGGAATTTCCTAATGTGTAAGTCCTTGCACTTCCTTCCTCTTGTGGAGAAGTGGACCAGCATTAGCAACAAGCCCAGCGGGCCCAGGAGTAAGTCTGCGTTCTCTGTAAGGTCTCTCTTTATTCTTAGTGACCGCAGGATGGAAAACTGACCCAGCACCTCGTCTCAGCTTTCCGATCCTTCCATGTGGTTGCCAAGATCGTCTTTTTAACACACAAACCTTTCACCAGTCAAGTCTTCAGGAGACCTTTATCACCACATGACACCGTTGACCTCCGCCGTCACCCGCTCTGGCCCTTGCTTCAGGCCACCACACCACCCCCCTGCTCCCTAATTACTACAGTGGCCTCCTAACTGCCCCCCTAGCTTCTGCTCTGGCCCCCTGCTTTCAACACAGCAGGCAAAGCGAGATTTTTAAGTCTCCCACAGTCCTAGTCTGCACTGCTCAGGACTTTGTACTTTCCGGACCACTGGGAGAAAACCCAGCATGCTCAGCGGCCAGCAGGGCTGTACAGACTCCGGCCCCTGGTTTCTCAATCACCCTCCCTGGCATCCTCCTCCGCTCCCTCCTGAGGCTCCTGGCACAGCAGACCGACCGCCTTCAGCCTCAGGGTCTCTGCACAGCTCCTCAGTCTGCAGTGCTCTGTCATCCTCTGCCAGCTGCTGGTCTTTGCCCAAAGGCCAGCCTCGTGAGGCCTCTCCAGACCACCTTAAAATTGCAGCCCACCCCATTCCTACACCTGCCAAGTTTCCTTATCACTTACACCAAATACACTGTAGGTGCACTTCTGTGTTTTTACTATTTATTGTCTGTCTCTTCCCACTGGAATATTCTATAGGAGCAGTGATGGTTGTTCCTCACTGCTGAAGGCCAGTGCCTAAAACAGCGCCTGGTATCAGGTAGTTGCTCAATGTATTTGGCAAAATGAGTGAATGAATAGAAGACACACAAAAGGCTTCATGATCTGGCCCGCTCCAGCTGTGTCGCTGACCACTGGCCCATCCCATAACGCTTACACACCAATAAGCAAGTGACCCTTCATTTTCAGGAAAGACCACACTTTCCTGTAGCCCAAAGCCTCTGTCTCTGTGTCCTGTCACCTGGAAAACCCTCCCAGCAGCCTCCTCATCCTTTATAAGCAGCAACCCCACCACCTCCTCCGTGAAGCTTCCCTAACTGCCCCAGGGTCACTTAGGCACTGGGCCTCGATGTCCCAGTTCAACCTGCACTGAACCGTCCACGGCAGCCCTATTATAGATGCTCTGGGGAGAGTATGAACAGATGCTAGGAGGATCAAATTCTAATCTAAAAAGTTAGAAACCCAAGCAGGGTCTTGTATGCAGACCTGGGTGGTCGATCATCCACGCAAAACAAGATTTTAAATTTTGGTAACAGGATTTCAACTTGCTACCAGCAATCTGGTATTTAGCACAGATTTCCTCTAATATTGTGAAATAACAACATTATTTTAAAATAAATAGAATATAAAAAGTAAGGCATATGGCTCTTTTCAAACCAGAAAAGATTATTTACATACCCACACATTGCCAATTTTTGTCAAAACCTCTTGTAACATTTGATCACCGAGGGGAAAAGAACAAGATTTGCCTCTGGTTTTCCAAATTCTACCAGCATTCAAACTAAGCGTCCCAAACACTTGAACTGTATTGATTTTGTCTCCATTTAACGTGGTTTCACTTGCTTTCACGGGCAATAGAAGAAACCTTCACATGAAAAATATTACTTTATCAACTTTAAAGTGCTACTGAGGATGCCACTGCGTTATTCAACGACACAAGAATCCATGTGATAAAATTCCCTCAGTACCAGGAGGGCCTCCCTGGTGGCACAGGGGTTAAAGTCTCAGCACCCTGAAGCTGTCTGCAGCCACAGGGCACAAGTTCAGTCCCTGGCCAGGGAGTGAACCATAGGGTTCAACAGACCTCTCCTGTCTCCCCACTGCTCCCCTCAGCAGTGTGTTTCAGTAGATCTGCCTGTTCTGCTCCCCACTCTGTCTCTGGTGAGTCCTCTCACCTCCACACCTCTGGACTATACCCCAGTTCTTGTAGGTATACATAAATCAATAAATCAATCTTTTTTAAAAAATCAGAAAAAGATACCTGTTGATAGACCATCGTTTATATTCCCTCCCCAGAAAACAAGAAAAGAACAGATACTACCTAGGTACCTCTTTGCACTCAGGTCAGTTACCACAGCCTGGGAGTTTCTCTGATACATAAGACAAAGTGAGGCCTTTTCTGGCCAAACCATTCCCACCCCCATCACTAAGTGGCCCTGCACCCCCATCAATGTCCTGATAGATCGGCTCCTCTGGCCACACCCAAGAGCCCTCGGTGCCTCCTGACGCCCATGCCCAACAGCCAACCAACAAGCCAAATGCCATCATTACGACTAACTTCACCTCTCCTCTCTGTATCTCAAACTTCCTGTTTCCCAACACATAAAAAAATTCAACATCCTTTTATGCCTTCAAGGAAGCCCACTCTTAAATCTGATGGTCAACTGGGGAAACCATAAGGGTTCAAAGACCTAGTGATCACCTCCTTCCACACACTTGCTTGTCTTCCCCACTGCCCTATGCTGTTGAGTTACTTTATCCTTATCTTAAGATTTGTACTGCGTATTCTAGTGTAAATTGCCTCAAGTTTTGGGGGAAATGGGGCCCTATTTCAAAGGCCCAATAACTGAGATTTCCACTTACCCATTTTCTGCTGTAAGCAGGATAAGCAAGTAGTTGCATCTGATCGACCCCCGTTCCCCATTATTACAAAAGATGGATAAAATAAAAGGTGCGACTGATTGTGAGCACTGGTGAGTAATCACGATCTCCGTGATCAAAGGGCCAAGATCAGAGAAAGAGCAGAGGGACCCACCGCCTTTTTTCCGAAGCCATTTGCCAATTTTTACGTGGTGTAGGCCAAAGACGAAGTAGAAGTCGGTAGCTCAAAACTTCCAGCATGTCAGGACCAAGAATACAAGAACTGAAGTCCAGAGCCTCCGAGAGGGTCGTCTTTGAGGAGCCGAGAAGGTACGAAAGATAACAGCAGAGAAACAACCCACTGCTTTGCCCCTCAAGGCAACTGACCAGGAGATTTGTGCTTTGAGGGCGGTGGCTGGGAGGTTAGTTAGCTGAGAAGTCACGCCCGGAAACACTAGGAGGCTAACAGGATTATTTATCTTCTTTTTCTCTCTGACGCACACAAATTCTGTTCAGGTCCTTTTCTATTAAAGGGCTTATGCACTAGTTTGTTCTGTCTTGAACCCATTTAGAGCAGGCAGATTTGGGAACCCCGATAATATTACCACCTTCTGTGAATGTTGTTTTGCTCTGAGTAGGAATAAAAACCAGTTTGACTTTCCCTGAAAAGTACTTTACATTCTAGAAGGTCCAGGCTACCCGAGAGGCCACGTATAGTCACAAATGAGTTACTAACTAAGCAATACTGTGTCTCCTTGGTGTGAACAGGTAGGGGCGGGGTGGCAAAGTAACAGGGCTGTGAAAAGTGACTTCTAGCTTGGTTTTTCTGACACAACTTTCATGATTCTAAATGACACTAAGACTAACATCTCATCATCCGTATTCAAAAAAGGTGGTGGAGAACGTATCCCCAAATCACTGGACTTCCGGAAGCCCCTCCTCTGTTCTGCAGTAGACGTAATTAACAACCAAGATGCACTCAAGAAAATAATGAAGTGCCTTCAACTTTCTTCTGTCATGTAGGACGGATGGGCTGAGCAGAAAACATCAGACCCTTCTCAAAGGTAAACTATTGCCGCAATGCTTCTCTCAGTAAGTGCTACCAACCACCAGGAACCACTGAAAGAGTCAAGCTAATGAAGACTAAACTGTATTTACCTACCCTCTTCCTCCCCCTCGTGATATCCATGGGAAATAGATTTTATTTCACTGCTTTATCATCAACATTATTCTCAATCAAGACCTGCAGAGAACCGTAGATGTGCATAGGACTTGTGCAATTGTTTCT